GAGGGAGCACCGCACTGGCAGAGGGTCAGTACTGAGGGAGTGCCGCCGTGTCGGAGGGTCAGTGCTGAGGGTGCGCCACCCTGGCAGAGGGTCAGTGCTGAGGGAGCGCCACAATGTCGGAGGGTCAGTGCTGAGGGAGCACCGCATTGTCGGAGGGTCAGTGCTGAGGGAGCGCCACACAGTTGAAGGGTCAGTGCTGAGGCAGCGCCGCACTGGCAGAGGGTCAGTGCAGAGGCAGCGCCGCACTGGCAGAGGGTCAGTGCTGAGGCAGCGCCACACTGTCGGAGGGCCAGTGCTGAGGGAGTGCCGCAGTCGGAGGGTCAGTGCTAAGGGAGCGCCACGATGTCGGAGGGTCAGTGCTGAGGGAGCACCGCACAGTCAGAGGATCAGTGCTGAGGGAGCGCCACAATGTCGAAAGGTCAGTGCTGAGGGAGCGCCACACTGTCGGAGGGTCAGTGCTGAGGGAGTACCGCACTTTTATTCTGTCCTTCAGATGAGTTGTTAAACTGATAGTGTTTTCTATCAGGTAGGTGTGAATTATGAACTTAATTTTTGTGATTATGATTCAGGCTCATAACTTTAGCCTTCAAGATATGAAAGAGAATGTTAATCCCAGTAAACCATGACTGATTCTCTTGAGACTGTGCAATAATTTAAACCTATTCCTGCCGGTAAATGACGTGAGATCGTCTTCTGTTTCCTTTTCTCTGCAGGGTTCCCAAAACATGGTAGTTACTGACTCTCAGAACACAGCCAGGGGCACAACTAGAGACTGGGGGACACCAGTTCCCTGGGATGAGGGCCCAATGGGAGGAGATGCTGCACAACCCGAGAGAACTGAGGACCTTGTCTATGCCAACACCACCTTCTCAAAGCTGCCTCGCCATGACAGGGCTGTGCACAGGGGCATGGATATAGAATACGCGGAGGTCAGATTCCAGTCAAACTGAGAGAGAAACAGGGAGAGGGGTGTGAGGGGCTTGTGCAGCCATTATGGTTAAATAATTATGAAAAGAAAATGATGTTGGTTAACTTTGTTCTGAGATCTGAACAAGCCCTTTCAATAATGCACCTTCTAAACACTGAGAAACTGCTCAAAGTCTTTGGCTTCTGTACACATGATTAAACTGCTGAGACACTTCTGTGCACATGGATTTATCATAAATTCTGTACCCTGGAGAATAATTTTTGTCTCCAAAACAGTGCTTGCTGTTACCACACTCCCTTCCTGTTTGCTAAATTCTTACAGAAATGACTGCGCAGGCTGACCTTATTAAAATCACTACGTCCCTCTCCCTGTGGGGATCTAGGCATGTTCTTCCTCTTGTCGCCTCTCGGGCAAGTCGTGTACCAGACCGTAACCTGCATCTTGCGCCCGGAGCGTTTCGGAAGAAATCCATTCCCTGCTTAAGCAGTAAAGGTGTTAAGGAAGCAACATCCACGGTGTTCATCTCAGACTTCGAGATTTCTTCAATGCTGGGTGGAGAAGGAGAACTCACAGATTCCAACAGCCTTTCTGGCTGTTTGGAGGGGCTGGGTATGTTTGGCTCCTGCTCAGTTGGTGAGTTTGCAGCTTTCATGTGGTCTAGGCGCTTGTTCAGCAATGCCTCGCCTACTGAAACTTTGTACGCCACGGGACCTAACCTCGTGTCGACCTCGCCTCTCATCCAGGCCAGGCCATTTCTATGGTTTCGATACCAAACATCATCCCCTGAAGTAAACCATCTCTCTAGCTTAGACGAGTCTAGTATCTGGCATTGGCATTCCTGATGTCATTTCAATATCTCTCCCAGGTCCTAGAAGATCAGATTTAATCTGTTGTGCCATCTCCTCCCCATCAGCAACTCTGCTGGAGCTATTCCTGGTATTGTGTGAGGGGTAATCTGATAACCAGATATGACCTCTCTGTGATAGTAGGAACTGCAGATGCTGGAGAATCCGAGACAACGAGGTGCAGGGCTGGATGAACACAGCAGGCCAAGCAGCATCATAGGAGCAGAAAGGCTGACGTTTC